TCTATTTTTTGACTTCAAAAAAGCATTTGATAAAGTGCCTCATAATCGGTTAATTCTTAAGCTTCAATCATTTGGAATTAGTGACCCTCTATTATCGTGGATAAGCTCATTCCTTAGGCAGCGTACTCAAATAGTAAAGTTCAGTCAAACCTATTCCTCCCCGCGGCCTATTCTGAGTGGCGTCATTCAAGGTAGTGTGTTGGGGCCCTTACTCTTCCTCCTTTACATAAATGATATTTCTAACATGATAAAATATGGTAAACCCTACCTGTTTGCTGACGACTTAAAAATCGTGTATAGCTTTCCCCACTCATCGCTAAGTGAGGGTTTTAATAGAATCCAGGAAGACCTGACGAATTTGTTTGCTTGGAGTGAAACATGGCAACTTCCACTTAACTCTAGTAAATGCGGAATTCTCTGTTTCAATAACTCTTATCCAAACGTCAGTTTACACCTTGGCGATTCTGTGCTGCAATCTTATAACTCAGTATGTGATTTAGGTATTAGGTATTCTCGGAACTTAACGTTTACGGAATATGCCCAGTCACTTGCCTCCGAGTGTAGGCGCTCAGTTGGCCTTTTGCTTAAACACGTACATACCACTGAGGCCAGACTGCTTTTATTCAAGGTAATGATCCGCCCAGTACTTGAATATGGCACAATCATCTTCAGCAATATGTATGCTTCGGATAGGATACTAATTGAGAATGTTCAAAGAAAGTTTACCCGCTATGTACTGGGCCGTCGCGAACTTGATTATGAGGGAAGGTGTAAGAAACTAAAAATTGACCCACTTTGGCTAAGACGCCTTAAGCTCAACCTTAGCCTATTTTTCCGCCTTTTGCATGGCATTACTCACGCCTGTTGCGCTCCTACTTTTAAGCCTGTCCTCATATAGTCTACGCAATCGTGAATGCACTGTACCTGTAGAAAAGCACCGCCTTAAACTTAGGTCACGATCCTTTATGTTACAGTACAGCAAGTTATGGAATAAGCTTCCACATTTTATTCGCTCTTGCATGTCTGCATTTCAGTTTCGACGTCTACTCAACGAATTCTTTCTTTTCACGGATATCTATAAATTTCTTGACATTCATATTATATCCACAAATACGAAGCATAATGGAGCAATCGGCACATAACAATGGTCAAGCCATTGCGTCCACTATGAACGTACTCAGATCTCTAAATGTAAGAATCGGTTTTATTAAAGCCCTGCAGTTCCTTTAATGCAGATGGCCTTACGATTGCATACAAGGGTATGAATACTGGCTCCTCTCCGTATAATGAACTTAAAGAATACTTTTTTCCTCTCAAAGCCACTACGGTACACCCCCTTCCTTAAAAAATATGACTTAATAACCCTATAATGGAAGGACTATGTAGTTGACTTCACACGTATACATGAAAATGTGCACAAAGTCCGAATAAATCAAAAAAGAATAGGGACTTCTCTCTTCGCCAACTTTGATAGCGTAGTAATCTCTCTTTCCATATCTGCTCGTGCCTCTTCTTTCTTTCCCCATTTGCAGAAACAGCTGCAAGTCGACATTTGATGTTCAAATTCAGTCTGAACGTGATTACTTTATGGGAATAACACCTGCTCATTGACGCCAATAATTATTGGACTGCTCCCACTCTTTCACAAATTCTGGACCATCTTCAAGATTAACTCACCTACTGGTCATGATTTTTCTTGCGACGAACCGTCTGACCATTCCCAACAGTATTAGTGGCAGAGTCATTCTGAACAGATGGTCAAACCAGAGACCAATTTATACATTGGCCCAGGACGTCACTTACCTGCAATGGCTCCATACTAAATATCTTCTAGTACTCTGTACCAAGAGACCCTTTCATATGGAACTTACTACGCACCAAATACACTTCTCGAATGATGCCGCCTCTGCTAATACAAAAGATACCCGAAGTCTATGGACTATTGACTGTTTCAGCATCTATTTTCATCCAAAACAACAAGTATTCCCAGCAGAATTAATCTATATCACCTTTAAACGTAACATGGTGTCCTGGATATGCATTGATATAGCCATACATGTTGGTTATATAACTGTGGATACTTTATCGATAATCTAGATTGTATTAATGGGTCCTTTGTGGTTAGCAAACTAAAAACTGAAGATCATTCTAAGCAATAAACTGTTATATTACTAATCGGCAATCTGTGCGAATGGACTAACAATGTCGGTTGGTTACAACGCAAATTCTGAACGCTGGGCGCTTTTGATATTGAAAATGGAACCTATCTATGTGATGGGAGGTGGGAATCCATATCCGTCTCATGAATTTCAGTAAATTTTAAGAAGGTTATTCACACTAATGACTTGATATGTAAATTATTTAATACTAGATACTTTCAAAAGTTATGAATTTGACGGTGCTTGTTAACTGGTATCCCTCACGTTAAACCTGTTAAGTGAAGACATTATTTACTATTATTTAAACTTTGACATTCTGTGTACGCTGTAAAGTAATATTTCCTTGTTCGTTTCATAACTAGCAGGACCTTCGGCAGTTTTTAATTGAGTTTAATGACGTTCCGTCAGTACCACTCAGGGATCAAGTCTTGCAGATATTTTGAGATGTATCAACGTGATGAAGCCTGCAAACTGGCTTCTCTCATGTTAAAATCTTTTTTAACACGAGAATAAAACATTTATTTATTCAGGGTAGTGGTCCACCTGGTACTCAAATATGGCACAGTCATCCCCAGCAGTATGTGTGCTGCAGGTAGGGTGTACACTGGGTACGTTCAAAGAAAATTTACTCGCTGTGTACCGGGCTACCATGAGGAAATTGATAATGAAGGGAAGTGTAAGAAACTGGAGATTGATCTTGTTAGTTAAAACCCCTGAAGCTCAACCTAACCTCCATTTCCCCACCTTTTTAACGGCATTACTCGTGTCAGTTGCTCTACTATATCTAATCCTAAGTTTTCATGTAGTCTACAGACTCATGAGTGATCTACACCTGTTAATAAAGCCTGCCTTAAGCTTCGGTTATGACACTTGACGATACAGTACGGCAAGTTATGAAATTAGCTCCCGCTTGGCACCTTCACTTGGGTGTCCCCATCTTAGTTCCAACGTCTACTAATGAATTCTTTCAGTTCACTGATATCCATTAACTTCGATACAATAACACTGCGTCCGCAAACACAAAGAATGATGGAGCCATGATCATGTAACCAGAGAAGTGCAGTTGTATGTGACGGTAATGCAGTCGGTTCGAATGAACGCGGCTGTAATGTACCGTCATTTTCATCAACTCTATGCACTGACATCGATCTTCCTAACTACCCTGCCATGTGATTTACATGTATAGTAAACTTTGCATGTCAGCGACGCCCAATAATAGCTGCATTTCTCGACCTGAAGGCGGCATTTGACTCCATTGATCGAGAAGTCTTATGGCAATGTCTGTAACTAAAAGGCGTGCCTAGTAAGTACATCACGTTTTTGAAAACCCTCTACTGGAACACTTGTGGGTGTGTTAGAGCCTATGGCTAGTTGTCCAGGGACCTATACTCATCAAGTGGTGTCCGTCAAGGATGCCCACTATCCCCATTCTTATTTAATTTTATCATAGATATTCTTATAGAGGTTACCCTCTCGTCACCTAATTACACAGACGTTGACCCAATCACAGGTGAATTTTCTTTAGATCTAGAATATGCAAATGACATAGTCCTGTTAGGTTAAGACGCTGACAAGATGCAGAGTCTTCTGAACACTTTGAGTGGGAATTTGAGAATGTTTGGGATGCGATTTTCACCACCCAAATGCAAATTTCTGCTCCAGGACTGGTCTTCAGCAGTGCCGCGGTTAACAATAGAGAGTGAAGTGGTTGAGTGTGTTGACCACCTCACTTACCTGGGAAGTAGGATCAACCCCGGTGGGTTAGTTGCCGATGAGATTTCTGCACGGATACAAAGGGCTCGATTGGCTTTTGCCAATTTGCACCACCTATGGCGCCGCCGTGATATTCGTTTGTCTATTAAGGGTCGCGTGTACTGCACAGCAGTCCGAGCTGTTCTACTGTATGGCTGTGAAACATGGCCATTGAAAGTGGAGGATACAAAAAGGCTTGAGGTGTTTGACCACCGTTGCCTTTGTAGTATAGGACGTATTCCGTGGTGTCACCACGTGAGTAATGCAGAAGTTAGGTGTAGAGTTTTGGGGAGAAGAGGTAAGTCAGTCAACGAGGTTGTGAACCTTCATCGACTGAGATGGTTGGGACACGTACTACGTATGCCTAGTCACCGATTGCCTCGTCACACAATGTTGGCTGAGGTGGGTCCAGGCTGGAAAAAGGCCCGAGGTGGCCAGACTAAAACATGGCACCAATGTATGAAGTCTCTGACTGTTGGTTTAAGCCATGTAGGACGATGCAGACTAGGTGGTTGGGGTCCACGGGACAAGAGGAACCAGTGGTTGGAGACCCTAGGTGATATGGCTCAGAACCGAAGTCAGTGGCGCAGGTGTATACACACATTATCCTCATCTTAACAACGCTATACCGAATCTCACTATTTTGTCACTCCTCTTTCCTTTCTTCTCATACTTTATATTTCTTTTGACTGCATTCACTTATCTTCATCCTTCACCTCACTACCTTTTACTTGATGTGCTGATATGAGGTGTGGCAACCCGGACCGTTACGCAGTAATGCCTGGTCCTATGTTGATAATGATGATGATGATGATGCATGTCAGTGACGCAATTTTTCCATGCTTAGTTACTGTAATATGAGTGTAGAACTTGGGCATCGTGTAATATTAAAGTGAAACAATGAGGACAATTCTCAATCAAAAGAAGGACAAGTAATTAATAGTAGGTCAACGAAGGCAGTCAAATAGCAAAATAAGATTACATCAGCTGAGTTCAAAGCACGGGAGTCGTAACAAGGGTAAAAATATTCGAATAGGTGTCAGGGAGGGACTTTCAGATCATTTTCGGTTACAAAGGGTTTTTCGATCCATGAGTAAGCTGAATTGTCTTCCGTATATCATTTTGCAGAAAGTTTTGGCCAAAAAGATTATAAGGCTTCTTGCTCAGTCTGACTGTAGTGGCGTCCTATGGTGACCAAAGAGTGGAAGGCATCGGCGATACCTTTCACGGAACCATGCGGGAAAACGTGCCATGTTGCCACACGAACTCCATAATTTGATGCATCAGATGCAACCGCAATGGATGGTGGTGAGTAGCAGTGAGTGGGGAGCATCCTCAAAGTAAGTGGACTCTTAGTTTCATTTAATGCCCGCTGGCAGTCAACTGATCAATCTCGCTTTGCATTTTCCATTAATAGTACGTTCAAAGAGCTGTGAAGGCAGCGAAGACCGGAAAGAGACGCTTGATGGTGACCTGCTAGACGCATGAATCATCGCCAGGTGGTGACATCTTTTCGGGTGTGGTATCTGTTTAACAGCATCAGCATTGGCTGGATCCAAGTGCCTTTCATTTCTCTCCATAATAAATCAGACGCAGTTGGCTTTTTCTATATAAGGGTTGCATTTATCAAGCCAAGGCCGGAACTAATACTACCTGACGCGCTGCAAAACTGGGGCTTTTTGAATGAACCACCGGGCATACTTATATCATCACCTTTACGTTTGCGGGTGACATCAGTGTTGAAGGGTATTCATGACAGTGATTTCAGGATAGCGCTCTAGGTTGACTTCTATGAGACAACTAAATGGTCCAATCTCTGGAGTTTTTAAATCAACTCCAACAAAGGCGCAGCAATGGAAATCGGTCAAGAGTCGTGCTACCCTTGCTCACTAGATGGATCAACATTCCCTCGCAGTAAAAAAAATGATTCATGGGTTGCTGTCAACATTAACTTCCAGACAACGGCATAGTGTAACGCGGCCACAGACAAAGCATTCTTCATGCAGCCGTCACTCAGTAGGGTTTATAAGTGCTTTGGTGAGAAAACATTTAGGGTAGTTTGACCTGCTGATGCAAGACCTCATCTAGAATACGGCGCACAGACAGCTAGTCCTCGTCACAAACAAGTAGCATGCACTGTAGAACAGACACAAAGTTAGTGGTGCGACTTCCACGTCTTCTGTATGAAAAAAGGTGGGAAGGAGCCGATCCTATCAAACTATCAGCGATGATGAAAAGCGTTTATAAAAACCCATCCCTTTTTCCGGGTGATGGATCAGTACGTAGAGGCACTGGTATAATCATTTGACTGAAGAACAACCTCGCTGTTGGAGCCGTATAAGCAGCCGAACACGTAAGCAGGACACATGGAATGCGACCTTGTCCAATGAAGTGTGAGGAACAAGTAACTAACCTGGCTGTATTATGCCTTTGGTCTGAAGTTGAGGCGGTTTACTTCCCGCCACAGAAATCGACCCTCTAGACAGATAAACCCTGTCACAGACATCGAATCACCATCATTTGGTCGGGACCTCCCAACGGCGGAAGAATCTTGTAGTTGCTTCGACCACGGGTCAGGGCCAACGTCGTTTCCCCAGGCTCTTATGCTGGACATCACAGTAGCGAGCTGATGGGATCATCAGTATGCTACTTAAGTTATTGATGTTATCCTAATCCGGCATTCTGAATCCCTTGATAAAAATGATCATACCCTGGTCATGTTCACAATTATAGCGGCTGTCGGCGCCTCACGCAGACGCATTGTGTGAAACGCAAAAATGGTAACTGTTAACTTGGCAGCCTCTTCGGGGGACTGGATTGTCAATCTCGAAGCCTGGTTGAGGCTACGTGGTGCCACTTCCGATTGTTGTGCAATCCAGTCACTCAGCCCTACATTCCATGATCCGTTTTTGAGAAACGAGAACACTGTCTTCACGTGGATTGATCAAGAGGTCTGAAGTTCACTGCGGTGGAAGTAAAGTTGTTAGAGTCTTCTCAGTAACCTTGCCAAGCCGGGGAGGAATAACCTTTACTAAGAGGAAAGACTGAGAGAAGAATTAAATTCTTTTCCACTTAAATTCTCCGCCTTTGATGGACACCATAAATAGGTGATTCATACCCACATGCCAGACATGTAGCGGAGGGTTAATCACCTACAATTGTGCATTTTAGGTGGATCATGAACACAATAAATTTGGGAAATCGGGGCACAGTTAATCAACACGGTACTTATATGGAGCCAGAAATGGTAACCGTAATAATGAGCTACAGATTATTCTTCGACACCGCATGATGACTGGTAAAAGCTTCAGAAGAAGCCTGAAATCCTTATCCCTCCACTGCCGGCGGTCCAGAATATGCTTTGAAATGCGTCCCACCAAGCAGAAGTAGGGCACCCAAAGAGGTTAATTTATTTTTCTACTGGATTTCACGCTTGTGTAAGAAACTACTGATCCAAA